TGGGCGTTTGTGGCATGATGCTGACGTTTTGTCCGTTCTTATGAATTCCCTTTTCTGTTCCTGATGTGTATGTTATGTACAATATGAATCTATAAATATATATTTGTTCCGGTGATGCATAAGCCTACCCCCTGGTTGTGTGATTATTAAGAATTATGCATTGCGATTTTGCTGTTTTCAAGCTGCATCACTTGTTGATGTTACCGAATTGATAATATTTAAGTGTTGTCCTATTTTGTTCTTGGAATAAAATCGTCATTGTTCCAATGCCAGGCCTCGTATTATATGTACTTGAAGTTACGAAAAAGTTGCACAATATTCTCTCCAGCACAGTTCTCTACACTTTTATAAAGTTATCTGTGTGGTAATCCAAATGCTTTGTAAAGCATGATGTGCAAGTGCTTTTTTTGTGTTGTATGAAGTACCAGAGAAGAGAGTGTGCTTTTTATTGTTTTTTGTTTCGTTTCGTTTTGTTTTGATGATCTGCTTCTGTTGATTTAGTTAGGTGATCCACGTATTCTTTCCTGCAGTAGAAATCGTTTCAGTCAACTCTTTTTCTTTCAGAAATAAATGTTGATATATATGTTAGTTTGTCGCTTGTTCTGTGTTTTCTCCTCAGTGATAGGGCTTACCAGTTGTGTACCTTTTCTTTAGCTTCTCCTTCTGCAAAATTATTGAGCTCTATGTCTCAGTCTTAGAGACAGCAAACGTTGATCCTTATATTTGAAAGATTTGCTTGTACTAATGCATTCTTCGTGGATTCCGTGATTTTTCCCATCAAGTCATATATACAAAAAGGCAGCTCTGTCTATCTCTTTCTGAAATGAACATTCATGTTTGCCAGCTGTATTAAATTGTTGGGCTCATGGATGTAACGGAGTAGTTCTTACATTGTAACCCAAGCCACTTTACAGACTGAAAATGTATGCCTTTATTTTGCAAGAAAGTGCTTACAAGAAAGTTCTAAAGTTTGTTTTTCCAAACTGTATTCATAGAGAAATTGCTGCACAATATTTAGTTGATGTTGGACAGAACTGCTTTCCTCTTGAAGAACATGGAAAGGGGGATTGTTTGGGAAAGGTTGGGGGGGGGGGGGGTGCTAGGGGGAATACTGGTATATGGTTTGGGAAGGGGGAGGGGTGCCGGGGGGAATAATGGTATATTGTTTGGGAAGGGGGGGGGGAGGGGGGTTGCTAGGGGGAATACTGGTATCTGATGAGAAATGTTTTTGTCATTATATTATAATCATTTTTTTCTTCCCAAATTTAAAGAAAGCCAAATGTTGCACTATACCGTTATGGTGCTGCCAATATGGCCTAACTCATTTTTTGCACTTTTGAGATGATTGGGAAAACTCAATTTGTTGTTTTGTAATACACTTTTTTCATTAAAAAATGGAAACGTCTAAATTTAGGATAACGGTTTGTCAGTTTTGAAACATTTAAATCCTGAATATTGCACCATGAAGAGGGGAGTTACAAAATGGTTACACATCATTGTGGCCTTAGTCTAACGGGCTATAATGGTAGCAATATCATGATACATTTATATGATTCATCACATCTGCAGTAGTCACACTCTACTGACATTACATGTACATTGTTTTTATTTTTTGTGTGTTTTTTTTGGGTCCTTTTTTTGTTTTGTTTTTTTCTTTTGATGGGTGGGGTAGAGGTTGACAACTGACATTCTGTCCAAAATTCTCTGTTTTTGAAAACAAAAATAGTTTTGAAGTGTACTGATGATTGTGTATTGAGACAGATGACAAATAAACCTGATGAATGCTAATATTGTAATAAATGAAGTTGATTTTTTCTTTCTACTGTTTCAGCCAACTTCACAAGCATACAAATCTCAGTCATGTGCACACTTGATATTGGACAGGATATCATGCTGCTGATGTGATGGCAATGTTTACTTTAGACCAGAAAGTCTGTTCATTTGACTAGCAGATCCTTGTTTGTACGACAGTCAGATCAACAGAAAATGAAATTTTCAGTTATGGCTGAAAAAGATTTTTTAAACACTTATATTATCGGTATTGTGTTTTAATGAAATTGCACCTCACCATCATCATAGATGTCTAGGTAAATTCAAAGAAGACAGGGATACAAGTTTTTCAAGCATGTCTCCCAAATTTTTGTTCATAATATGGGTTTTAAAGCTTACTCTATCCAACACCAAAAAAATCAAATGGTTCGGACATCTCATGCCATTACCAACACACCATCCAGCACAACGTGCCTACATAAAAAAGTTCGATGGTAACAAGGCTGGAAGGTGACCGAGAAAGACCTGGATAGATGGAGGCAGGAAAACACTAACAACTCAAGGCAACCCCCTGACCCAAGCTCTCCGGCTGGTGGCAGAGAGACGTCTCTCTCTTCCTGCAACTCCCAAAAGGGTATAAGCGGTGGATAAAAGTTTTTAAAAGTAAAAAGTAAAGCTTACTCTGAGCGTAACTGACAATAGGTCCAAACACTGAAAACACTGCTTTCAGTTTTGAAAAGCATCACAATAAGATAGAATTAAGAAAAAAGAAAAGAAAATAGATTAATGGATCATCAAAAGAAGCCAACTTGTCTATACTTATCATCTGCACATGCTGCAACAGTTTTAACTTTTCTGTTAAAGGTAAAATTGGGTAAAACGATAAAATGGAAAATTAAAGAGATATTGGGAAAGAAATTCAAGGGAAATAGCTGTAATGGTACAGTTGTAACAATGGTTGGAAAATAAGCAGACTTGCCACACACAGCCGTTTGAGTGATGCTACCTCTCTCTTTCAACCTGCCCAACCATCCTGTATTGCGTCTGCTGAAGTCAAAGGCCAAGTTCCTTTGTGTTGTTGTCTGCTTTTGACATCAGGATGGGGCGAGAAATTGAAAGAGACATAGCTCAAATTCGGCAAAGTGCTTTTTACTTCCTGTTGGGTTGACATCCATCGCTGTTTTTTAAAAATTGCATCTCGATTTCCAAGGGGAGGAGGGGGGGGGGGGATATTAACATATTTTTATGCATTGTAGAATTGTAAATGGGCTGATTTATCAATGTCTTATCAACATAGGGGGAACTGCTGCTTTTTCTTTCCTCATCTTTACTATCGTCATTTTACCTCTACTTTTTTTGTAGGTTTGTCACTCTCTTGTGAACTGCTATTTCCGGGATGCTATGATAGTCCAAGCAGACTTTGTACTGTTGAGGCTAGAGAGGTGAGCAGACTAAGCCCGATTCCCTGTAAGGACTTCTCTGTTGACATTCACCCCTTGGCGCTCATATGACCTTATGCAGTTGCGAGCGACGTAAAACCTTGTTAAAACTAAAACTATCTCTATTTTGTTAAAAACTATCTCGATTTTAAAAAAAACTATCTCAATTTTTGGGGATACCAAATCTCTCACAAATTTCCACCTTAGCTCTGACTTTTTGTCAACCTCTGCTAAAATCTGACGCTTGATTTTTATTATCAGACTCGGACAATAAATTTCTCTTCATGCGCACACAACGATATGAATTCGAGACAATTGAGAGGAAAAATTTGATGGTTTTTTTTTTTGGACAAGCTGTTAAACTAATCTGTTTGAGTGTTTAAGAAAACAGTATTGCCGATACAAAAAAAAAATTATAGTGGATCAGTGGGGGGGGAATCGCTTACAGCACTGTACAAGCTACCCATAATTTCTCATTTTGCCTGCTCATGTCATTATTGTCATCTGTGCCCGACTGTACATCATTTACATGGCTGTGATAACATGTGGGCTACTGCAAATTTGAAAAAATGTTTTCTGGATGAAAGATTTTTGAGGTTCTGAACAAAACATTGATTTACAAAGGTCCTATTATATATGTGAGGCAGCGTGGTGGAATCAGGCTCTCGTCTAAATAATCAAAGTGAAGAAACTTGCATTTTCTGCTGGTTTGTGAATTTTTATCAAATTTTTGTTTTTTGGCTCAACACCTTTCATGCCCATTAAAGAAATCATTTCGGTGTGGATTTTTCTGAAAAACGTTGATTAAAGGCACAAAAAAAGTAAATTTTCAGTTACCACAGACTCTTAAGCAAAGGAAATAACTAATCTTTGGCGGCCATTTTGTCACTAATTTTACCTCTGAAAACAGGTGACTCCCACCTCCTTCTTTTGCAAATATCTCGACTTGTATTCAAGATAAATGGATATTTTTTTCATCCAAATAAAGACAAGTGAACAAGCTTTAGGATGATACCAATAACCCTACATGCCCAAAAATTGACGAGAGCCTGATTCCACCACGCTGCCTCACATGTGTGTGCCAAAAGAAAGGTACCAAAAGTCGGGTTTTAACCATTTTGAGTTACAGGTTGTACCTAATAATAGGACATTCAATGCTGAACACAGTGGTTTTTTAATTTTTGAGATATCTCAAGTAGTTTTTGAGATATTGCACATTTTGCGAGGTAGGGTATAAAGATATAATTTGGAGAAAATTATAGAACACATACAAACTTGAAAAAAACCGATGATTCAATTGTTTCTAATGTATTTATTCATGGAAAATAATTCATTTCTAATTCGGCTTTCAGTTGACATCAATATCATAATTAGAATTCAATGTTAAAACATAGCGGGGAAGAGAAAATGAGCTTCAAGAATAAATTTTAACACCGTTTAAAAGCAGATTTCATTATCTTTTTAAAACATACCCTACCGTCAAAATAATTCAAAATAAAGTATTTAGAAGTCAAATCAATGAAAACTCTCTAAACACATTGTTAAAAAATGGTGGAACTATAATTTTTTATGGAAACACATTTTGGTCAAAAAAGTGATTAATTTGTTATTACCAGCCTGTAGCTCAAAATGGTCTGTGGCGACTTTTGGTACCTTTCTTTAGGCACACACACATATGCATAATAAGAGCATATGGTAGTGGGCAGATTAAAACGGCAGTAGGTTGCAAAAGAAATTGATAAATAATCACAAATTCTCCTCTTGCTACAAACTTTTACAACGCTCCAAACCTTTCTCTCGACGTATAATTCACAAATATTTCCCATACACATTCAGCAAGTGTATTTAGAACATACTACCATGGGCATACTTAATGAAGACACCAGTACAAACTTTAAAAAGTAAAGCTTGTGCTATTTTTTAGTGAAAAGAGAAAAAGAGAAAAATTTCACATATTATGCAGCAAAATGTGGGCGATGAATCTCGACCAAAAACAGTTTCTGTATGTACCTTGTCTGAGAAAACCATACTCAGTACACTGCAATCTATATCTGTCCAACATTTAGTATATGTACATGGTGCAATGCTACATGTAACTGTGTCTCAAACCCCAAAACATTAATACATTTCACAGGAGTTTTCACACTACTCCAGTCCAATTAGGGAAGGACGTTCCAATTGGGAGGTCCCGCCTCTCAAATAATCTAGTAGTGTTGATAGGGATGTTAAACCCCATACATACTTGCACTTACACACCACATTACTCATTAACTAAAAGGCACACATAAATTAGGTATGAGATCCAATAAAATTGAGGTAGAACATCTCTTATATGGTTCCATTGATTTGTGCAGCTATTAACTATTATTAGTACATGGAGCACAATGTGTACTTCCGGTAGCAAAGTGATGAAATAGCAATAGATAAGAATAGGTAAATATTTATTGTCCAGAAGCTGGCAAATTAGTTTCCTGTTAAATATTTATTGTCCAGATGCTGGCAAATTGGTCTCCTGTTTCACACTCACACACACACATCAGTACACACACTCTCTCACACACATCCTCTCTTCCACAAACATTTTTACACATACATTATAATATACATGCCAAGGTTGCCAAGGAAACAAATATTCACTTTCCACACATTTTCACAACGTTCCCCAATCTCTCTCTCACACACACACAACATTTATCAGATTCAGAAAATAAATTACACATGTGCAATGGAGATCACAGGGGTTGCCCACAGCACCGATAAATATCAATAAGATTATTTCTTTCTTATTTCATGCATATATGCTAAGCTAATGATGGTTTTCAATGGCGAATGGCTCTCTTGGAAAGATTTCGTTCAACAAATCATTTCTTACTTTTAGCTTACACAGAAATGTAAAAATGACCAGGTAATATATAAATCAGCCCATGTAAAGGAAGCTGTAAAAAAAAAGTTAAAAATAAAAGAGATCATGGATTTTTAAAGAACACACTAGAGATTTAACTCACTAGATACAATTCGAAAAATTTAGCAAAGCAAAACCAACTCCTGTAACAGGACATCTTAACTTTTCATTATGGACTCAACTTGCCGAGTGACTTCGTTGTCTTCATTCTATAATCTAAAAAAAGAGGGAAACTGTCATTTTCGGATGTGACAAATTCATGCAGATGTTGAATCAGTAAGAGGTCCTGAAGTACTTGTTGATTGCTGGCACAGACAATGAGATTTTTGCTTCACACAGGTACTGTAATCCGTCATCCAGCTAGTGGGGAGAGAAAAGTCTGCTGTATTATAACACAAGAAATAATGAGCATGATCAAACGATTCAAATGGAAACTGTGTTATACTTAAAAATTGAGGAGTGATAAGGCTTTTACTTGCACATGTTAGAAGAACAATTTGGAATTTTCTAAGACCTTTTATGGAGAAGAAAATTGGTGTCTTAGACTGTCAGGCGCATTTCATAGTGTCATTATAATGTAACAAAATACACACGGGAGGAAATGATAAGTGGCCGTTTGTACAGGTGATTTTTTAAAATACAGGTGGCTGTTGGTGCATGTTCAACTGTAATTAAAATTGGTGGTAGTTGTTGTCAATATTTTATGAAGGAGTACCACGGCTAAAAGACAAAGTGGGACAATCAAACAAGCAACACTGGACTGGCATCTGTGGTGCAACAGTCAGGCTCTTTGCCATATGTATGTAAAAGATGTGGATTCAATTTCCCTTGTGGGAACGTATTTTATCGAGTATCTTTATCTTTCTCCTGGGATTATGTATCCCCTGCATATCTCTGGCAGGGACAAAGCAGCTCACCTCTTAAAAGGTTTATACTGTGTTGATGGGGCATAATGCTTTGACCAGAGCTGCCAACCCTACCGGCCACAAAAGTGTAAGATTTTAGCTAAAAAAGTGTAAGATTGTAAAAAAAAGAGTACAGTATAATAAATATCACTATTTCGTCTCAATACGCAATTAAAACTCGCAAAAATTAAAAGAACAGACCACCACGCAAAATGAACTTGGCGGAAGTTGGCCTAAACAAAACGAAATTAGGTGAAAATCAATCAAGGGAAGTCACTGTGATGGTGTTTGTGTTATCGTCCAATAGTACATTTGCTGTCATAGGGGCCTATTAATAATAGATTGGACCGCTGGCGGTCACGAATTGGAACAGCAAACGGAGCAAGATTTTGTTTAGACGATCCATCGGATCAAGCAAAAAGTTGTACAATTCGGCAAAGTGGTGTAAAATCTTACGATCGTTGAAAAAGCTTACAAATAAGCTTTTTTGGTGTAAGGTTGGCAGCTCTGCTTTGACCCATATACAACCAAAAATCCAGAGCGAGCAAATGACATCAGAGCCCAACCATCATATGATCACACGACATCCATATTCTGATAGACTATATGAGTAGAAATATCTTCTTGGATGTGGAATAACAAGGAGAAACCAGCACTCATGGTTGCTTTTACTCTGGTTGAAGTTAAACTTTTTACTTGACAGAAAATAAGTTTTCCAGAGCCCAAACGTACGGACACTGACAGAACATTATACTGTTAGGAAACATTCTTGTGCAGAGATGAAAAAAATTCAACCTGTACTCGGATTCAAATCTTTCACATGTTGGTCAAGTTCGAGCTTTTAACCGGCTGAGTTACAGAAGCTGACAAGCTTACATAGGAGAGTCCACAGATACTGTAAATATTTTACTCTCTCATCAACACACCAGAAATCAGTTATGAAACAGGCGGCTTGGACCCTCAGCGCCAAACCAGATTGAATGGGACACAGCATCCCAGCGGAAAGAAAAAAATACCTGAGAATACAGACTGTCCAACATAGGATCCTAACTCCAATGTTTTACGGGCAACAGTAAAAAGCCCAACCATTACAATGATTACATCATAGACAAAAAAGTTTAAAGAGAAAGGAGGCTGTTTCTGCATACCATATGACATAAGCTGCAAGTTAAGAGTAAAAATACCAAGGTTAGCTCTCTTTGTGCTTAGGTTTATCAGCATAATATCGTTATAAGGCGTAGAAAAGGGCAGTGATAAGCAAGTACACAGTGCGGAAAGAGTTAAGCTCAGAAAAATTTCTGTAAGAAGGTGACCAGCCATAATGTAGAAATCTCTGGAACTGTAATTACAATCGTAACATACATGTTACTGTGAAACAGATCTCTCTGTTGGGATCACCCAGTGGGTGGTTGGCGGGTGCTCTGGTGTGGTTTGCTTTTTCTTTTCTATCAAACATCTATCGTCCTTATCTATCTCCCCTTCTTCTTTTTTATTTTTGTTACCCTCTTGTAACACCTCTAATCTTCTGGCGCTCATATGACCTTAAGCAGTTGTGAGTGCTGTAAAACCTTTACTAAAGCTGAGATCACCCAGGGTCAACCCCCAGAAAGCACTTACAAAAAACGACGGTTTGACGAGTTTTCACAGCTTTCCACCCACTCAGTTTGATCCTATCAAGAACGCACGCTAAAAGGATAATTTACCTCTAGTGCAGTGGCGGAGCGGTTAGTGCGCTCGTCTCTGAAGCGGAAAGTCCGGGTTAGAGCCTCAGTTCGGACACGGATTTTTTCCTGCCCACCCAGCAGTAATGGGTACCTGACTTCGAGTTGGGGAAGTAAAGGAGGCGTGGAAAGGAACTGGCCACCCTACCACAATACATGTATGCCGAAGGCCCAGGAAGTTGTCTCACTAACAAGGCAATATCCAATGTCGGGATTGGATGCAGGAACAACTTTTTACCTCTAGTCTAGAGTAAATTTGCTGTAATTAATGGGGTGTTGAAGACTGTACGGTCTTTAAATATTACGAAATTAATAGGGGAGGGGGTGGCTCTCACCTGCCCAATTTCAAAATGAACTTTCCCCGTAGGATCCTCATAATTGATGCTTTGGTATGCATTGGGATCAAAGTCAAACTGATCTGAAGATGAAAACAACAGGAAGAGTTTGTTAACATAAATATTCATTGATTTATACGCAAACATACGATTTATACGATTTTTAATCAAACAAATTTTCTGTGACTCAGGATCCACAAAGAAATTTGAGTGATTGTGTCAAGCCAAATACCATCTATATTTACTTACACACCTGAATTGGAAATTATATATAAATTACTGAAAAAAACATCCATACCATAGAGTGTGAAAAAGACAGCATCGTCTTGTCTGATGTCACAATAAGATGATAGCTGAGATTATGAAACAAACTTGAAGGCACGCGACAAAACACAAAAATGAATGAAAAATAACAATGATAAAATCAAGGGTAGAGATCTGTATATTCATGATCCTTACATTTAGATTTTAAGATTATAATGATTATATTGATTTCAAAGGTCTTGGCTCATATACCAGTCAATCATAATATGACACGACAAGTATGCAAATAAAGTAACAAACCAAAGGAGTCATTGAAATGCATTCATCTGTAGCAAAACTATGTCGATTCCTTCAATCTTGGAAGTGCCAAAGGAGTCCCAGTCATACTGACCCACAAGGGAGACATCTTTGTCAACATTGCATTAGCAGTAACATTACTGTAGGAAATCTTAGCCCCTCCAGTAGCTTTGTGTTGGTAATCTTATATTGTTGCAACAATCCCAGAGCCAGAAACTTTTTAAGGAACCTTTTGTAAAAGTTTTTTACTCCAGAAGTGAATATGTTTTCTGGGAGTCATGTGTTCCAGAGGATGCATACAGCAGGTACAGTGGAAACCTGATATAACAGGGATGGTGGGACCAGAGAAAAAGTCCTGTCATATAAGATCCCTGTTAAATCAGAAATGCAAGGGAAGTTAGCAGTTGTGGACTAATCCAGCTGTATTTATTCAAGGGTAGTTTCCCTGGCCACAAGTACCCACAAACAGTGTTTAGCTAGGCTTAGGGTTAGATCGAAGTTTGCAGCACACCGCAGCCCTCTCTTGCTTGCAGTGGCATGGCTTGCTGGGCTTGCTCCATCACTGCGTTTCTCTCTCTCTCTCTCTATCTCTCTCTCTCTCTCTCTTTCTCTCTCTCTCTCTTTCTCTCTCTCTCTCTCTCTCTCTCTCCTTGCTTTTTGCACATTGTCCCTGCTATAACCGATTGGGCTCCGATGAGGCCCTGTTATTGCTGATATTACTTTCAATAGAGACAAAGGGTAGAAAAAAAAGGGGATTTAAAAAGTCCCTGTTATTACCGGATCCCTATTATTACCACGCCTGTTATATATGGTTTCCACTGTATATTATAGACGTATGTCATGTCCGGTATAAATATGTCAACATTTTTGTTAACAAGTCAGTAATAAAAGAAAAAACAAAAGTAGAAGGGAGGAAAATGAGAGGTAATTGCCAAAACAAAAAACTTGGAACACACAAGTAATAATACTGAAGAACATAATGAGTACATTTTCCTGACTTACTTGTCTCGGAGGAATTCTGTATCTCAACAAGAGAGCTGACTGTCCAGAACGGTTCCCCGCTCTCCTCCAGGAGTGTCATGTCCAGAATGCACACATTCTGATAAAAATTAAAGGGAATAATGATAATCAAATGAACAGAAAGGAAACACTCAGTCCTTGGTTTTGTAAATTTTAAAAAATCGCTATGATCCGACTTGCCAGGAAAATTAGTGCTGCCGACAGCAAACAAAATAAGCTTGTCAAACACAGGGTAGCTTTAGCAGAGGCCACAAATCGCCAGAACTGTGACAGAAATGGTCATGTGAACAACTCTGCACATATTTCATCTTTACAACAGCGTTTTATTCTGCTGGCACGTCATCTCAAAAGACAATAAGCTCAGTAGTTGGTGTAAAGTTACGCAATAGTGCGGATAGCACTGGTTTAAATCCCCAACAAGCATGCTTGTAGGCCTACTCTGCTTGTTTTGGGAATTTTCAAGGTTCTCTACGCACTGGCTTGGTTCTATTGGAGATGATGTTTAACCCTATCCGTACGCGTGGGGTCATTTTGTACTCCAGGGGTTGTATTCTGCACATTTTAGAATACTTCTAGAGCAAAGATCTCTTTGAAACTTCCAGTATTTCTCAAAAAAATCATTTTAACAGACTGCTATGCAAAGCCCACGGATCTGATTAATGAGTAAATTTCCTCTTTGGAAAGTGGTGGCACAGAGTTCCACACGTTGTATGGATACGATAGTAAAACACGACGTACGGAGAGGGTTAATTAAGAGACCTGACCTTTTAAAGAACCTTACTGTGTTGTAAGGAGCCATACCCTCAAACAATAACAAATGTATTAAAAACTTTTTGCACTCATTTATTACTTTGTGGCAGTTGTCAAGAAAACATCCTAGCAGATACATTTTCAGTCTTTTATAAAACTTGGTGAAAGATTTCTTGACAGGGCTCAAGACTTTGCAAACACTAACTTGCATAATTCCCTTAGAGAGTGCTGTCACTAACTTGCATAATTCCCATAAAGAGTGCTGTCACTAACTTGCATAATTCCCTTAAAGAGTGCTGTCTTCCACGGGAAATTGATGTCCTTCAAGCAAGCACAGTGAGTGAGCTTGTCATCTTTCTTCACCGGTACAAAAGTGGCAAATCCATTTGCTGTGAACAGAAAACAAATGTTATGGATAAAAGACTAAGGATGAAGGAAGTTCATAATGACTGGGAGGTCAGTAGCTTGATATCTGAAATATCTGAAAAAAGTTTTAAAAACAAAAACGAAAGAATGTCAGGCTTGACAGACAAAATTCAAATTATACCAAAGATGTTAACATTCTTAATTTCCTTGTGTCCATGTAATGAAGATGATGGTGATAATGACAATAATGATTATGAATGAATAACTTAACTCAAAAGGCGAGATAATTATCACGTACCAACAGATTCTCTTCTGGTGTATAGGTCAGTAAACTTGCATTCTAAAATCTTTTGTCTCATGTTGCGTAAAAGTAAAATGCAGGTGTATCCGTGAAGACCTGGAATGTAGAAAATGAAGAAGAATTAGAATCCCATGGGAGTTCATGAGAAAGAGGCAGAGAGTGTACTGGAAATATTTGACCAAAAAATGCTTTAATCCTGGTTTTCTGTTTTCTAAAGTCAAATACAATACTTTCTGGAACTAAAACAAACTTTCCCAATGCCACCTCCTTGGTAAAGCAAATGTGAAAGGACTATCGCATGTTTATTATTTGGTGGAAAAGTGCTAGACGAGTTCCTGTGGTATCGCATTCATTTGAGGTTTGAAGAGTAGAATCTATCTGCAAAGATTTAGTACATAACCTCAAATCAATGCCTCCATAAGATACTTTTCATATTTCATTTTGAAGCATTAATCATTTTAACACATAATTCCCTTCCATCTTATGATTAACTTATCTCTCAACGCTTTTTCAAAAGGATAAAACGCGTCCTGACATTTTTTTCACAACAGTCTGCAACAAAGGGTTCCATTTTAGTGTGATCAGTAGTGCATGCTTCTAAAACATGAAGCCGTGTACGTTGTATCACAGCTGTAACTGTTACTGATCTGTGACAAGTATTTTGTAAACCAAGAAGTACCATTACTGCTGGACATTGACCAGTAGTCAAGAACTTGCTGTGACCGACTTAAAAAATGTAGTTATTCATACTTTGGCACAGGATTACATAGCTCAATAAAGATCCCTTCATATGTGGATTGTAAAGCATCTTTCTTGTTTCATTCTAACTTCTCCAAAGAAATGTATAAATGTATACATGATTCAAGCAGTCTGTTTATGTTAATGTCAACATGTGCAGCAAATACAGAATTAGATTTTTTGTTTGCCAATGCCTTTCCCCTTTGAAAAGCTGAAAAATTTCGACTTCCAGCTTCAACCTCATTACTTCTATCATCAGCTCCACTACACACACTTGACCTTCTTTGTGAAGTAGAGTCACTAACGGAATCTGATTTTTAATTCTCATTATCGTTTGAATGCAATATCCTTTCAACTTGTTTTTCCTCCTCTCACATAGCAATCAGCATCTTTCTAGCCTAATCAGCTAAGAAATGTCTCTGCTTTCCTGATGTGGCGTATATGTTCATTGTTTATCAGAGTAAAAAAGTCATGACGTTCACAGAAAACGAAATCAAAGAGCTAGCAAACATTGCTAAAACATTGTGTATTTGTAAATCTCTGGTAAAAGAAAATGTTCTAGGAAATGAAACATTTTTCATTTTGACCTAAAACTGTTGATATAAAACCTTAACTTATCCCCACAGCAAGTACTCATTGTGACAATCAATTTCAAATTCTTTTCCTCTACACATTTGTTTTAAAGCCATTAAAACTAAAGACTAGAATCAGTGGTGGGTTGTTCAAGGCAGGTGTTGTGTACACAAGTACCGAGATTTCCTCGGGGCGCGGGTTCCCGTGCAGAGTGGCACGGATATCTCGTGCAAGGAGGGGTACTTGCGTAGAGGAATTCAGGAAAGTGTATATAATCAGCCAGTCACGGTTTTCTGCGGGACAATCGAGGAACAATCGGACGAGAGAGGGAAAGGGGACAGAGCCTTGGTCGACTCACTGCAGGAAACGTACAATGTACTATATTTATTGAAATTAAATACTCAACAACCACGGTAAGAGTTTTCGTTTATCATTTATTATGTCGTTTTAACTTGTGGTGTAGTGCTGTGTTCTGCATCAGCAGGGTCAAAAACCTGCCTCCTAAATGGTTTAATGTGCTGATGGGGCTGTAAAATCACAAACATTAGGGGAAAAAAATTAACAAACTAAGAGCTGATAACAAAAATTAAGCCCAGTTCTGTGTTTAACATACCATACTGAGAGTCAATGTCATCTTCAAAGGCCACTCTCTCAGGGGGTGCCCAGCTTCTAAAAAAAGAATAGGAGACAAAATTGTATTGTAACAAATGAATCTACTAAAAGTGTAGGTGGATAGTCTCAACTGCTGAGTCACTGAAAAGCAATAAAAGTCAGGCAAAATTTTATTCCATATATATGTGAGACAGTGTGGCTAAATCAGGCGCTCGTCAAAACAGTGAAATCAAAGAAACCAGCATTTTTTTGAGCATTGGGCAATTTTGTTCGACTTTTTTTTTTCCTTCAACACCATTTATGTCTTTTTAAAAACATATTTCTGTGAGGATGTTACCGTAAAATGTTTATTAAAGGAATAAAAAATGTAAATTTCCAGTTTACAAGGACACTCAAGCTTTGGAAGTCACCAAACTTTGGCAGCCATTTTCTTGCTAATTTTATCTTTCATATTAGCCGACGCCCACCTGCTTCAATTGCAAAAATCTCCACTTCTCTTTAAAATGGGTATTCTTTTTGCCACATGCAAGACAAATGAACAAGCTGATCATACCAATAATCCAAATGCCCAAAAATTCACGAGCGCCTGATTCCACCACGTCGAGACACATATTTCTCTTTACATAATTTAAAAAATATAGTGTATATGGCATTGATTTCTTAGTTTCACCAGTAAAATTTTTTCATCTACTAGTCTGTCTGCATGGCCTTAATTCTTTCACCTTGTATCATTATTCTGAAAAAAAAAAGTTCTGTGTCAGCCCTATGAAATGGCAGGAAAGTGATTTAATAATGATAATAATAATAATAATAATAACAATAATAACAATAATAATAACAATAATAATAATAAAAATAATAGCATTTTTTTAGCGCATATCCATGCAGACCACTTTCAGAATATCAATTTGCAAAAGAAAATTCAAGGAGCATGTTTCACGAGCGGTGAATTTGGAAAAGAGAGCCTTCCCATGTGGTTTACCCGAAAAAAGGTGGTGCTGAGCTGTAAGAAAGAAATCCTGAAAGAAAAGATAGTGTGTCCCCCAGCAAAGCAACTTTTTGAAACATCAGGATTAACCATGAACGTTTACGTGGGCAAAGACTTTAAGTGAATCAATCATTACCAATTTTTACATATTTTGACCATTATATTCAAAACGTAAAGCACTCACCTATCTGCACTGCCACATAAACAGCGTGACACAAAATTCTGATAGTGAAAAGTGGTAGCAATGAAAGCAATATCCCCGCCAGCCTGGAAAAGCAAAACAAATACATTCGTTTTTTATTTCTAGTCTCAACTTACAATAAGTTATATAAGCTCATTTCATAGTCACAAATGCTTGTCCTATACTTGACCAGAGGATTTGCTTTCTAAAAAAATCTGGAGGCTATATTTAGTATAATATGTACAGATGGGACTCGTTATTACACTTTTTAGCTTTAGAGTTATGGCACAACAATCAAGTAAAACTTGTCCATATTGGTCAACAAAGATCACAGGAAAAAAGTGATTATTGTAGACACAAGGGGGTGATCGACAGGATCTGAGTTATTGTCACTTACTAGACTTGACAAAGTCAACATGTGGTTTAAAATCTGAAATCTTAATTTTATCTTTCTGTTTTATTTCCATCAAAATTTTTATCTATCATAAGAACTTCTTTGCACTGATTGAACGTACTCCCTCTGTCTGAGGACAGACTGGCTGAAAAAAAGTTTTGTAGCAAGTGGCTGCAAAGAGCAACGTTTTTTAGGCTGACTTTTTGCACAAATGACCAACTCTGCTGGCATTGGACAAGGACTGCTGTTGACAGGTTTAAAATCTAAGAAAAATGCAAAGTTGTCACAGAACAGTAATAATAATAAATAATAATAATAAATAGCATTTATACTGCGCATTTCCATTTCCTAAAAGATGCTCAATGCGCATTACAATGAAAAAGACATCACATCTTAAAAATTAATCGACACAAATGTGTACGTAAAACAAAGTATTATACATATAATATAAATGCATATGTGTAAAATTTTATACCAGAAAAACAGTCTCGCAGTGAGGTTGAAAATGTGTTACCTAAAAATATACAATGCAATATAAATTCTCGAACAGTCAAAATACAATTGAAACTTGAGTAACTAGAAACATTCATTAAAACATTAATTCTATACAGATAGAAAAACATTTCCGTTCTATCTCTGTCTCTCTCTGTCTGTCTCTCTCTCTCCCTCTCTCCCCTCTCCCTCTATCTCTCTCTCTCTTTCTCCCTCCCTCTCTCGCTATCTCTCTCTTTTCTCTCTCTTTTCTCTCTCTATCTCTCTCTTTTTCTCTCTCTCATTCTCACTCGCTATTTCTCCAGTCTCACAGTCTGGCATACACATGCATATATATCACAGTGCATCATTATGACAGGTATGCTTTTGTGAATAAAAAATGCTTCAGCTGATTTTTGAAAATGGAAATTGTTGGGGCAGATCTTATTTTATATGGGATTTCGTTCCATACCTGGGGACCAAAGAACAAAAAGGAACGCTTGCCGTATGTTTTGTAGTTTTGTTTTGGAGTTTTAAGAATTAGATTGTCAGAGGCTGATCTAAGGGCTCTAGGTGGATTATATAATTCCAGGAATGTTTTAAGATAAAAGGTGCACTATCATTTATACATTTAAAACAGAGAACGGCAGTTTTGTATTTAATCCTTTCTTTTATTGGCAGCCAGTGTAGTTCTTTCAGAATTGGTGTTATGTGGGCTGATTTCTTTTGTTTCATTATCAATTTTGTTGCTTGATTTACTTGTTGCAGTAGTTGTTAGTTTGGTGACTGTTATGAAGAGTTGACCGTTAAGACAGGTTCAACTGTATTTCCAAGTAGCTACATAATTCACATCAGACAAAAGGGTAAGTTGTACAATATAAATCATTTTCCCAACAAATTTGAAGCCTTCTAAAATTTACTTGAGTACTTTTAAGCATGCTGACAAGAGTACTGAGTTTTAGTTGAATAAAAGTAGAATGTTCTTCTTTATAAACTCTATTATAAGTTCCCGACCTACCAGATATTTTCCAAGAATGAAACCAGAAGAGAGTTGATAGAGCTCAATATGGTTGTCACTTGTCAGGGGTTTCAAACCAGACATTTTATTTCTCAGGCTTCCCTTCAGCTCCAAGAGTAGAGACCTCTGAATGATGCTGTAGAGAAGGTGAATTCTAAATTTAAAACAGGGTTCACAAATTATTGCAAGCTCTTTCTGAACTTAAATTTTCTGCTTCATGACAACACAATTTCTTATTATTTGAAATTAAGCGACAACAACATCAGAAAAGCTATAATTTGAAAAAAATGAAGATAGTGACAAAAATCTTTTCCAGGCACTCATGGTAAAGAATGTTTTATTTAGTTTTTAAAAAATACATGAAGTAAATCAGCAGCAGGACAAAGGGACGCACCCATGTAAGTATAGGCAATATATGAACCCACTGTTCACTATCAGGTGATGCAACCCCTTAAACTCACTGCCTACCCATGTTGCTTATGCTATGGTCAAAGTTCTGTTTCAACTGCCTACATTTGCTCCAGCGGTTATGGTTACCGAATTCAGAAATTTGTCTTTAACACTTTCCAAATTTCCAAGAAATAAAAATATTAAGCAGTAATAACTACACAAACATTCAGCTGTCTTTCACACCCATCTTTTGCTGGCTTTGAAGGCCCGTAGAACATGAGAGGGGAGCAGGCATGAATCTTTAGCCCATGGATGTCTTTGAAGTCTGGGAAGACAAGGTCGTACCATCGGATTGTGCAAGACATAGACATCCAGAAGATATCACTCTGATTCATAGGATGTTCTACCCCCTGAGCATCTGTAAAGCTCAAATCAAACCTGACACCAACTTTTCTGAGGACAGAAAATAAAAGTGTTTACTTGATTAAGTCTATTATCCAAGAACATTAGAAAAAAAAAAGATCCCTGTAGACTTCAACACTTGCTTGAAATTCAAGAGATGCAGATTTGTTTAGTCTCAGGAAAAAATAACAAAGAAAAAACAGTCAGAGCTGAGAGTCTTTTCTGAGAGTTTTCACAATGATCCACCCTGATCTTTATGAGATGCATTCTGAAACACAAACACAATGCCTTCTTTTCTACCTTATTCTGCTCAGACAATTGAACAATATTGAAACGTGAAAAGACACTCATTGATACAAAAATCAATATAATTCAGTTGAAATTGTCCAACACAGCCACCCATTGTTGAGGAGGAAAATGGTCTTCTAGACAGGCGGACATCTTGGACAGTGTCATTATAACATCTAAAAAATGCAAGGATGAAAATTGGAAGTAGAATTGTTTGTACAGGTGATATCTTTGACAGGTGGCCATTAGACCAGGTTCAACTGCATTTTTATGGCTGTATTCAAAGTAAGATTTGGTGATTTGCATTACTTGAAGTTGCAAATGATGATCTAGACGTCATAACCAAGGAAATTCTTTTCTATATAAAAATAGGAGCATTTTGGCTTATCTACTGGGTTTTTTTAAAACAAAGGCAAAGAAGTACAGAATCAGGGATTCTGTTTCTTTTGGTTTCCTTCAGATTAACCTTGTTCAGTATAAGTGGACTCCTTTGGATATCAATCCCCCCCCCCCCCACTCCTGCCCGGCCCTCCCAATCAAATTCTGATATGAAGACCAGCTGCTGCATTAGTCAACTGTTCCCAATAATAACTTAATAATATAGCCCATACTATTGCCAAAATAGCACTATGTTCTCAATCATGTATGACCTTGCATCAAGCCTACATTAATAATTTATAGTTTAAAGTTCAGTTAATAACAGAGAGGCTGTTATTATTTTGTATAGTTTCTCACCCCAGGGAAAGTTCAGGTCTCTGTTTCAGGCCTGTGTAACTGTCTGGCTTTTTCCATTTCTTCAGGTAGATCTGATCTCGTTTTACCTTACACCTGGAAAATCATTAGCAAACTGAGGAATTTAAACATACATATCAGCATGTCAAAATTTGTCACTTCTTGTCTTTACCAAAACTACATTTTGATAAGTTGAACATCAGGTTCAACAAAGGAGATTTTCCTACTTTTTGCACTATGTATTTTGAAGTACCTTAACTTTTTGTCTCCGGCAAACGACTCCCAGCGGCTCGTGGGCGGAACCACTGAGCCGGTGAGCTGGCTCAGGTGCATTCCTTTATGACTTTGACATCAAATTGCTTTTCACCAGTTGCCAAAAGCAGGTCTCTTTTGTCTGGATTTCATTCTTTAGATGAAGAACTACAAAAAAGGTTCATTTGTTATGATTTAATGACCAATTTAGTGACGATTTTGTCATTTTTAGATTTAGTACCAAAAAACAGGCCCCAGAATAGTGGGTTTACCCCTCTCGGAGATAAAGAGTTAAAGCATTTCAGTAACTCAAAGAACAAAAAAAGTCAAAATGGATATAACAAGGTGTAAAACATGTATTATCCGGCTACTGGAGAGCACTCAGAGTTTATCTTTAAGCTATATCCTTTTTTTTTCTTCAGCATTTAAACTATGTCCCTGTCTTTCTCAAACTTCTTTATTTCTCAGCTTTTCAACTTTTTAAAAGTTCTATCATTCAAACCAATACAGCCAGTTGAATTTTTCATCACAACTTTGTTAGGTATGCAATAATAGCCTTTTTCTAATATAGTAAAGGAAAAAAGAAAAAACTTAAAGAAGTTGTGATGCTGCTTCAGACATGATTCACGAAAAATTTATTTTGTTATTCTATTATAACTATCACTGGCACACAAAACAAAACAAAAATCTAGAGAATTTATACATTATTTTATTAATGTTTCTATTCTTATCTGCATACAAATATCAAATGTTGCCTGTATTAGAGAATACTGACAAAACAATCTACTTATTTCACAAATTATAACCAAAACTGGAATAACTTTTCAGAGAAGAAATAGAATGAAATCTTTAACTTGATTCAAGACACTTTAAGCCAAGATCACCAGCGTAGTACAAAAGAAAGGTTTAACACTTTGCTGTCACATCTCGCCGATCGGCGACGTTTACCTCCCAGTTTCTTTGGATTCTCCCCAAAATACCTTTGCCTTTGATGGTAAGGGTTTTTACTATATGAGCCTTGTGATGGCAAAGTGTTAAAAAGAATTTGCTATTTTAACAGGAAGAAATTTTCATACAATTGAATATTTGCCAGCATATTACGTACCTCTTTAAGCACAAATATTTCCAACAACCAGAGTCAAGTTGATGTACCGGCATACTGGCTTCCTTCTCTTTTTCGACAGGACCAGCAAACTTGGCATAATATTGCTTCCATAGCAAACTTTGGACAAGAAAATATTTCATGATAGAATTCCTTTAAAAAAAGTATAAAGAACTTTGATCTGTAGGCCTACAAATTAAAATATTTTTATAAAGTACACATAAGAGAGGGTGCAGTGGCGGAGCAGTTAGTGCGCTCGTCTCTGAAGCGGAAAATCCGGGTTCGAGCCTCAGTTCGGACACGGAATTTTTTCGCCCCCCTCCTGCCCACCCAGCAGTAATGGGTACCTGACTTCGAGTTGGGGAAGTAAAGGCGGTGTGGAAAGGAACTGGCCACCCTACCACAATATACTGAAGGCCCAGGAAGTTGTCTCACTAACAAGGCAATCCCCAATGTCCGGACCGGAAGCGGGAACAACTTTACTTTTTACACATAAACAGACTGAACACCCCTCCCTCTCCCCCCTCCAGCCTAAAAATAGATCTTTTAAATCTAAAAAATTGGACTTTAAAAATAATGTTATAGAGTAAATGGAATTGCCATGACTCTATTGTGAATTCGTTCTCCATTTACTTTATCTAAATGTTTTTCTGTTATCTATCAAAAAAGATGTTTCTTTAAATCTTATGACGAATATATCAAGTTTATCATGACCACCTAAATTCTTTTCAATCCACTATTTCTATCTTTCTTGTTTTTTTCCCCAACACCAAATGACAATCATTTGATTGATGAAGTCTCTTCAATTCATGCAAAACTAAAAGTAAGTATACTTGACAATCAAATCATTATATTTGATGGTACTTGTAAACTTTGACATACTTGTCACAGGCAACAAAATTCCACCTCCTGCAGACTTGAGAGGCCACAATGAGATCTCCTATCTTCAGCTTCCAAAATATCATCGATAGAATTTCATTTGGCAAACTGAGGAGAAGGTGGGTAAGATTGAATACATTAATTTAGCGAGCTAATTTACAGTTTCAAAAGTATTTTACATGAAGAAAACAGTCGCATTTGATAAATAAACTCCAAATTCATTAGCTCTTTGATGCTGAACGAGTTTCTATCACCCACGTCAAATGTGTTATATTGATATAAAGTTTACATGATGATGACGATGAAGATGATGATGATGAGGATGATGATGATGATGATGATGATTTTTTGTGTGTGTTTCCTTAATGGGCCTGGCGGACTCCGCAAAGAAATCTTCCAGCGAGAGTGAGGCTCTTTTTTTGCTCCATTGTCAATATGCTTAGCGGCACCTCCACTGATCCAAATAACTCCATTCGAATTGCCATTGTTCCTGGACATTCAAAAATATGTTTGACATCCTCCTTTTCATGGCCGCATCTTCGGCAACATGGGCTGAGCTCTTCATTTACAAAGTTCTTATACCATCTTAAGCTCCAATGATGGTCCGACCGCAGTCTCGCTAGCTCAACCTGGTCCCAGCGACATGTGATAGATTTTTGTTCCCGCTTATAGGAGTACCCAGAATACACATCTTCCAGGTGCTGGTACTTAGTTCTACATGGTGGGTCTCTGATTTCTCTCTTGATGATGATGATGATGACGATGATGATGATGATGATGATGATGATGATGATGATGATGATGATGATGATGATAATGATTCCGAAGGGTTAAAATTGTGGAAGTAATCGGTAGGTCAATTTATTGAATAATACTTCTCATAAGCTACACTGGTATTTTTATAAAGGTCCAAGCAGAAGGTTGAACATTAAAAGTGCATCCATGTACCATGAACTTTCACTCATCCTATTTGCAGTACTGTTGTGTTCGTTTATTTTGCGCTTGCCAAGTGACAGGCTACACACAGTCTGAGGGAAGTTCAAAGACTATTGGCCCACTGATGGGGACTTCAACTCCCTCTTTGGTAGGAATTATCTTTTATTTTTTTTATTATGTCTTTTGTCAACCTCTGTTGCAGTCTGACTATATCCTCATCTATTGACCTCTCCCTCAAAACCACACAATGGGGGGATTGCCTTCAAATGATATTATTATAACTATATAACTTCTATCTTTACTGAGCATTTTCAAACAGTGTCCAACATAGGACTACATTCTCAGGATTCTAGTATAAGAGTGTCAACAAAATTAGCTCAAGAAACAAGTTTGACAAAACAAACTCATCACTAGAAATTGAGAAGGAACCAACACTTTCTTCAAGGCTACAAACAAATTGTAACGTAAAGCAGATACAAACCTCTCAATAGTTGCTTTCCGAGGTCGCCCATTTCCTGGAAGTTTTGGGATGCTTGGTAGCCTTAAATGGCCTGAAATGTTTTGAGATTTATTATTCGGGAGACTTGGCTTAGTCCGTTGGGAATTTCTCAAACCCTTGGAACTTGAACTCTGTCTTTGGGCTCGTCTATCACTGTCCCTAGATGTAAAAGTAACAAGAATAAAGTCTTGACAATGTGTTGCAACGTGAACAAAATGAAAAAAAGAGCAAATGTGTAGGTAGACATTACACTACTTTTGAATATATTTGTGCATTTGGAAACATACACTCGAAGTTCAAATTTATATATATATGGCATCAGAAAAGTGGGAACATTAAATTTCTTCAATATTTGTAGATGGTGCATTATGACAGCACATAAAGTGAGACAAAAAGTTACACATAGGCCTATTAAAGGAAATGAAAGACTAAAAAAATTCCCCACCAAAACAAAAGCAAAAAAACACCCCCAGAAACAAATAGGAGTCTTGCCTACATATAAAGGCATGCACACAAAGAGGTATATCATCACTGCACTGCCATCAACAAGATGTATATATACATCAAGATACAAAATGAGATAATGATACTCATAAAAGATAATGACATTCTGGTCAGAGAGTCTGAATTAAAAAAAAAAAGATTAATAATATTTTTTTTTTTAAAATAGTAGGCCTATTACAAGAAGGGGGGCAGAAAATTAGGCAGCTTTTCGAATTTGGTATTGATTATCGAGGTAGCGGTGGTCGAATCAAAATCCCGACCTCGACTATATTTAGCTGATTGGGTGTTCACTGGAAACAGTTCAAGTTGTAGAAATTTCTACTAGGTCGGGAGTCGGAGGGGATGTACATTGTTTAGCCGGGGAAAAAAAATAGAATTGTATAAATAGATGTATATGCCCAATGCAATTTAGTCGGGTGCAAAAAACATTTTCTCATTCAAGGAAAAACTGGCAGATGAACAACAGAAAACAGCTCACTATTAAGGTCATCATCCCATGAGCACAGACTACCTACCAGACGATACCGGGTTAATGTGAAAGACTATGACAGAAACTCATCACAGCTTACTTTGAGTCAGCAGCTAACTCAAGCAGCTAGTTCCTCAACACAATGGCCCAAAAATGCTTCCTGTGAGAATGCAATATCGTTTTTGTCTCCACTTTTATCAAGTATTTTAATCAGTGATTTTAAAAAAATGTACTTTCATAAAGACAGTGTATCCTGTTCTAAATCCATCTTCCATCTAACATATTACATATCAAGATTGTTTTATCCATTTGTAAATGCCTGAATGAATAAAATTTATACATGTTCAATAAAACTAAATAATAGTCTTGATAATTGGCTAATGGAAGAGGTCTACTAGATTCAAACTTAAATTTATACTCAGAGAATTTCAAATCGGAACCATGTCAAATACCTGCACTTATTAAAAAATACTCGATATTGAAAATCCCGGTACAATATTTTCCACGGGTTAAAAAAGGAAAACTCCTTAAATTTAAACTCTTTGACAATAGGATTAAAAATCTGCGCAATTTTCCGCTGCCCTTATAATACTTTTATAGTCTTCTTATAGTATATTATACAGCCTTTGGAAGGAGTTCACCGCAGAGGGCCACTCACCAAAAACACACAAAAGAGGGGATTAAGAAGTTATACAAACTTTAGGGGGGGGGGGGGGGGGAAGGGAGAGCTCACCCAACATTTGTCGGCATTTTATTGTTTTTGCACCCCCCCCCACCCTTCCAAAAGGCAAGTCAATTACGATATTCTCAATAGTCGACAGAAGAAGGTAAAGGCGGATTCCCCTCGACTCGAATTTTTTCTCGACTGAAGCTGTCAAATGTGCTTTGCTCTAAAAAGTTAGCTCGCCTAGTCATCAAATTTACCAAAATGGAAAAGTCATCAATTGGATTCTCTAAGTCTATAGATTTCTAAGTGCACTGCCACTCTTGATAGTTTGCTCAGTTGACCTTGTACTCTGCGGAACTCCTCCCTAGCCTTTGGCTAAAACAGCACCTGGACATGGATGGCTGGTGCCTCTATAAATAAATTATTGATGGTCAAGGTAGTATTTATACTTATTATATTTGTGAAAGTTCTTCACTTTGGACGCCTAAAACTTCCCAACCACTGAACTTTCGAATTTGAAAAAAATTAACGGTGGTTCAGAATCATTTAAGGGTGCACAGTTATAATATGGAGTCTGAAGTCACAGTAGTTTAATTTTCAGTTTTTCATTAGATCTAGATCTAGTTTTGTTTAGATCTAGATTCTAATCTTGGGAAAGTTCATCTTCCGAGACGCCATTGTAAACAAGTAAGAGTTCTGTTCACAAACAGTGCATACTGGTTCCACAATGACTTAACAATCGATTCTTTGGAGTGTGTTCATCAAACGGGGTACCCAGCTCGTATATAATATAAAATTATAAAGCCTATCTATTCTTACATCACTACATCTAGAATCTAGATTAGATCTCTGGCCACTCTTATAGCCCTAAGTAGGCTAGCCTAGGCTAGATCGTGACGTAGCTGTCTAAGTCTAAGACAACAGTAGTGGGTTAGTGAGGTAGGCCTAGACCAGGGAGTCTGAAGGACACAAGCAAGCGTTACGTTTCACATTTATAGCCTGCCTTTTAACACTACTTTCAAGGTGAACAGGTTTCGCTTGAGAATGAAGATACTCTGTAAGTTTTGTTCGGTGTTGTTGCTGGGCATTTGTTGAAGCCGCCATGATGTAAACAATAACACAGTAATTCGCAATGCTCTCCCTTTGCCTAGAGACATGACAGCCTGTGTAAAAGATAAATAAACAATGAAAATTGCCTTCATGTTTTTTTTAAAATATGTTTCGTTTGTCTTTTCCGTGTTTTATCGACAGCCAGCATAATATTATATATATTTTAAAAAATGAAAATAATGCATCAACCTTCTCGAGTACCAATAACATACCTCATTATTATAATACATTAATATGCCATTTGTTCAGGAAGGGGATGTGGCTCAGTGGTAGAGCGTTCGCTTTGCATGTGAAAGGCCCCGGGTTCGATCCCCGGCATCTCCAAATTTTTTTTTCTTCTTATGAGGAATCTTTTTAATCTATCACCACGTTGGTCTTCAAGCTGTTTCTTCCTTGTTGCGTTCCTTATTGATTTGATTTCCAGAACACCGTTGACACATGAATTATGAACTTCTTACTACTGCATAATATGCTATTTAAATAGAATTAAATCCCAAAAAAACCCTAACATAATCAATAACAACAAAAGAATAATAATATGGTTGAAGGAAACATTTTGAAACCGCAAAGAACTTTTTAATAAAAGTATAATATTTAATGATCCCATGTCGTCTTTATTCGTAAAATTAATTCTTAATTTAAGACTTTGTTGCCCTCCTGTCTGGCATATTATATCCACGAGCACGGGGGCTCTCGTCGTTCGTGGTTTAGAGGTTACCGTGTTTGCCTCTTAATCTTATTCAATAGGTCCCTGGTTCGAAACCTGACAGTGATGTGCAATTTTCCTCTCTAAAATTATTTCCCTTCACCTCCTTTCCTCCTCTCCAGCCATGTTCTGTTGTCTGCTTTTGTCTCCACCTTCTGCCCCCAACCTTGTGTGTGTGAGTGTGTGTGTGTGTGTGTGTGTGTGTGTGTGTGTGTGTGTGTGTGTGTGTGTAGGTGACGATGCGGTGGAATCAGGCGCTTGTCAATGTAATTCCTACCAAACTGAAAATGTTAAATGTGTTCCATAGGCTCAATATGACCTTATAGTTATACAGTTACGAGCGCCGTAAAACACCCGCCCCCTAAAATAATCCATGTGCACAACACAATGCGATTGCGGGTCGATTCTTAAAATTTGTTCCATAATCTAATCAGTGTCTATCTGAGAAAAGGAAGTGTGCATGATCTTCTCCTTCTCCTTCTTCTTCTCCTTCTCCTTCTCCTTCTCCTTTTTCTCCTTCTCCTTCTCCTTCTCCTTCTCCTTCTCCTTCTCCTTCTTCTTCTTCTTCTTCTTCTTCTTCTCGATCGCATCACACTTAAAGTCAGGTATCTGTCATAAATTGGGCCGTCCTGCTCAGTTCATCTGTCGGCCCGTATAGCTTCTCTTTGTAGTGTCAGTGGGGTTGGCCACCTTTCCTGTCTCAGGGCCCTGTGTGTCTTGCAGTGCTGAAGGATGTGTTCAACAGTCTGGTCCGCCTCTCCACACTGGCATTTTGGTGATTGTACTAGTTTAAAACATTTGTACATAATATGTTGTCTCAGTCTTGTGTGTTGTGTCCTTAGTCCGAAGATAATCACTTGTTCTTGGCGGGACAGCTCATGGTAGCTATCTGGTGTCTGAGGTACTTTAAATAGGGTACAGTCCATGCCGGCTTTAAGCACTGTCATCGGGAGAAAACTTAAGCGTGCTTAAAGCCGAAGCGTGCTTAAGTGCGAAGTAGACATAATCCAGAGATTTTCATGTAGAAAATTCCCCGTGCTATTTCCCTTAGTTTGTAAGTAGGCCTATAGCGGTCCCGCAAAAGTGTGCACTGTTATTTAGACACCCGCCATGGTAGTTTTTGTTCGCTTGTTTGTTTTTGTTTTGTGGTCGAATGGGAAATGGAAACTTAATTTAGACGGCCAGTCACGATACAGCACACTAGGCCTACTGTAACACACTGCCTGTGCGTACCACTGCCCGCCGTGCCACTCATACCACCACCTCCATCCCACCTCGCGCGTGATACACAATCAGGATTAATGGGTAGCGAGGGGCAAAGGTGAAATCGCAGCCAGCCTCCCTTTCTCATCTCCACGACTCTCTTTTTTTTTTTTGGATCGTGTGTAGCTTAGCCCTAGGCCTAGGCTAGATCCTATGTCCGCGCGAACGGCTGTGTGCATCTCTCTGCCTTCCTCTCCGCCCGTGCGAGTGTGTGTGTCCATCACTTGCGTTCTTTGTGTTTCTTTTAACACACTCCAATGTTGCGGTGTAAACTGTGTTCGAACTTCGATGGGTCATCATGAAAATATTGACTGCCTTGTAAATGAAGCGTGCTTGAAGCCGAAGTTACCGTGCTTATAGGCGTGTGATTTATATAGCAAAAATTCGGTAAGAGCCGTCTAGCGTGCTTGAGTCCGAAACGTGCTTAAGGCCGGCGTGCTTATAGATGTGTGTATGATGATCTTATTACATGTAAAAGCCTTAGGTTTCCTGTATGTCCGGTCTATATGTTCCCATTTTTCCACACCGATCATCTTAACCCTATCCGTGCGCCCTGGGGTCATTTTGTATCCCCGGGTGGTATTTTTCACATTTTAGAATACTTCTAGTACGAATATCTCTTGGAAACTTTTAGTATTTCTCAAAAAATCCTTTTAACAGACTTCTATTATAATGCAAAGCGAACGGATCGGAATAACGAGTAAATTTTCTCTTTGTAAAGTGGTGGCACAGAGTTCCCCACGTGGTATGGATACGGTAGTAAAACACAAAAGTACGGATAGGGTTAATAGAGTAATACAATGTAACTCAGATTTAACGAAGTCGCCGGTCAGCTTCAATTTAGTTGAGTCCGAGTTTTCGTTATAGCAAACATGAGATTATTATGATTTGGGAAGTCGAATATATTATACATTACTTGCTCGGAGCCTGTAATTATGTACACAAAAAACGTCATGTTTGCTATAACGAACACTCGGATTCAACAAAATAGAAGGTCAGGCCCGACGACTTCGTTGAAACCGAGTTCCACTGTATAAAGTACACGCGCACGTTGACAAAACCCACCAATGACAAATCCCAGCACAAGCTATTATTACGGAAAGGTGTGATCTAGGACCAGCAGATGGCTAAAAGGCAAACATCAAAACATGTACATGTAATCAAACATGCATCACCAAACAATGATAGAACCTACGCGTATTTCAAAGAAGTCAAATATTTGGCTAACAAGAGGAGCTTAGGGTAGAAGGAAGCAATTCACAAAATGAAACCTACGACTGTTTTTAACGGTCTTTGGTCAGTTCAACGTGACTGTTATTTGAGAGCTGAGTATTAAGGAAAGTCAGCTTGTCACTCTCAACACTGCTGTTAATCATTTATATTATTATAATTGTGACATGTAATTTAATCATCATCATCATTGCCTTTCTCACCCTGGGGCAGGATATAGGCCACGAACAAACATTCTCCACCTTTCCCTATCCTGGGCTAGTCGCTTGATGTCACTCCACGTCTTCCCACTTTTCTGTACATCCATTTCAGTGACTCTTCTCCAGGTTCCACGAGGTCTTTCCCTTGATCTTTTACCCTGTGGGTTCCAATCTAAAAATTTTCTTGTTTCGGCTTTGTCTGCTGTCCTTCATTGTTCCTGATGATGCAGAATAAGCTCCCCCGTGTTTCTATAACTTTCCTTTTTTACTGGGTCGGGTAGTTGGCCCTCCGCAAACTGTCACTTTTCAGGTGGCCAGACCTATGCACCTTTAGTCGCCTCTTACGACACGCAGTATCCCGGCAGGTGTATTCTTTACTCCCCCATAGTAAAACTATGGGGCCCCCCATCTGCAGGGGCGGTGTAATTTAATACTTAAGGATATATTCGAGACTTAGATGCTGCCTGGCTACCAGCAATAAAGCAAGAAATCTATTTGAAAACCGACACTCTTCAAATTTTTTTCCCGCTGCGTGTAATTATCCTTACTTGTATCAAAACAAATCTGATCCAGTAGATCTATACACCATGTCTTTTTTAACCCCATTTTTACAATTTTCTTTTTTCCCTCTCTTTTTCTGTTTTGTTTTTTGTTTATTGGAATTTAATATCAAGGGGATAAGCGAAAATAAATGTTACGTGTTGAAGTCATGATCGAAAAATATCAGGTGGCTACACCTAAATTAAATTATAACCGTCTTAAGACGTCTATTTCGAGAGGGTTTCAAGTTGGTATTTGTGCTTCTCAAGACTTCAGGGATCACACAACTACAAGCGTACGTATGTAAGCCTATTACTATTATAATCACTAACTCTTTCACTTTCGGGCTCGATTTTTTTTATTTTTATTTTTTTGGCAAGTGTTTTACGACGCTCGCAACTGCATAATAAGGTCATATGAGCGCGCGGGACACATTAAACTTTTTCAGTTTTTTAGGAAATTTCGAATTTTGCGTGGGTGGCGGCCGAAGCGTACTCTTATCGATTTTAGACCACCAAGAGATCTTTAACGTGCGCAACTTGCACACGGGCCCTCCGAATTTTTTCGCCCTTATCCGTGCAGGCTAGGTGTAGATCTTTCCTACCAGAAGATCAGGTGTGTGGTTGAAAGACATGAGTAAGAAGGAGCCAAGGAGTAGCAGTAGAAAAGCTGCAGAAAGAGTCAGGAGCCCAGAGGAGGGGGTAAAGGAGGTGAGGAGGTGGGGGCAGAAAGAGGAGAAAAAAGCAGACGACAAAACATTTCTAGAGAGCAGGAAAGGAGGTGAATGAGACAATTTTAGAGAAGAAAATTTTTCCGTCGCTACCCGATTCGAACCGGGACCTTTGAATGAGAGGCCAACACATTAACCTCTAGGCCACGAGAGCCCCCCCCCCCCCCCCCCCCCCCACACACACACACTCCTCCTTTTCACTTTTTGTTTTCGTTTCTTTCTTTTTTGTTGTTACCGGATTTGTTTAATTTGGGTTGCTTTTTGGTGCAACGGTAAAACAGAGCATAAAAATTCAACCCAATTCATGGAACAATCACCATCAGTGGTCATAATTGTATTGGCCTAATAAGCAAACCTACACAATGTCCCCCCGGGGCAGTGCCACTGACTGAAGTGTCTTTAGGTCATTCCTAAAGGGGGTACATTTCTCGTTCAAGTA